AAGCTACTGCGTTTTGCAGGGTGAGGGTGGGCATCGAGGCAAGAGAAGGCCTGAGGATATGCATGGATTTGCAATAGAGCGTGGGCGTGGGTGGCTGCTCAGAACTCAGCCAGCTGGGATCCCTCACGCCTAGCCTCTCCAGTCCTGCTCTCCCATGTGGAAGGCATTTCCTAAAATACCGCCAGTGTGCTCACGCACCTCCACCCAGGTGTGCCCTCCAGGTGTACTGGACGTTGCACCTGTGGCCTCTGCCGAAAGAATTCAAAAAGCACAGCTCCCCGAGCTGGTCCAGGACCACCGGCCAGTCTGGTGTGGTCAGGTCTCTGTCCTCCGTGATGGCATCAGGCCTTCACCTAGACCACAGTGCTAGCACGAGGGAAGCAGTCAGACCAGGCCCTGCTGCAGTGGACTCGGAATAACTGACCTGACCCCTGGGCCCTGGGGAGGCACTGACAGGCCTGGCAGATCTGTGGGGTCACTGCCTCTGCTGAGCATAAATATCGGGGTGAATTGTATGAAATTGACACTTGGTTTATAGGTCAAAAGTGGTTGAATGCCATTAAAAAGGTTGACTGTCAGCAGTTTCATGCAGTTCAGCCTAATAGTTTAAATACTGTGCTTTTTATCCTGCTTTCCAAAAGCACTTGGCTGGTCGGTGTTTTTTAAGTTGAGGGGTAGGGATGGACATAGATTATTGCAACAGGAGGTGAGGTGGATGGCGTGGCGCCCTGACTGTGATGTACCGGGTTGGGCAGGGGCAGCCGGGGCCGTGGGCCTCACTGGTGCTGGAGGAGGGACTGGGAGCATGCGGCTGCCCTGTGCTCGAGTTCATGGTCAGGGAGGCTCACTGGAGCTTGTTCTGCACCCGCATACCCTGCCAGGCACTTCTTCCCTGTCCCTCTCTTCATCTGAAACAGTAAATCCATTTGATTCATTACAAGAACTTGGATGAAACCCTCAGGCCACTTCCCCAGGAAGGCGGCAGACTTTATGGAAACAACCCACACTGCCAGTTCAGCCATTCAGCCGTGTTTATAGAGCACCTGCTATGTCAGGAGTGTGCTAGGAGCTTGAAGATACCGTGGTGAGCAAAAGCACCCTGGCTCTCCCTCCTGGATGGTAGATCCTAGCGAGAGAGACAGATAAAATTGAAAGGACCAGACAGAAAGTGGAAGCAACTCAGGCGTCCAATGATGGATGAATGGATAAACCAACTGTGGTATGTCCATACAATGGAATATTATTCAGCCTGAAAAAGGAAGGGAATTCTGACACATGCTGCAACATGAATGAACTTTGAGGACATATATACATATTCTGTATATGTCAAAAAGACAAATACTATATGATTTTACTTATATGAGGTACCTAGAGTAGTCAAATTCATAGAGACAGAAAGTAGAACAGTGGTGACCAGGGGGTGCGCAGAGAGGGGAATGGGAAGTTGTTTAATGGGTAGAAATTTAAGTTTTATAAGATAAAAAGACTCCTACAGATTGGCTCCCCAACAATGTGAATGTATTTAACACTATTGAACTGTATGCTTAGAAATGGTTAAGATGATAAATTTCATGCTATCTGTGTTTTAACACAGTGGGACATTTTTTAATTAAAAAAGAAAGAAAGAAGCATGCACACCCATGAGCTGGCCCGACAGCCCCAGCCCTGCAGGAAAGGCATGAGGCGGTGAGGCTCGCTGTGTTAATGATGCGCCTGGTCCCGTGGCGTCCCCACACACTGCTTTGTGGCCTTTCTTGGTCTCTCCTGATGAAAGTCACACAGGAATGAGGAGTGAGCCACATCTCTGAGTCACCCTCAAGGTTGTCCCAGCCACCCCCCTTCAAACAGGATCTTGGCTGGCCAGGCACAAGGGGAGTGTGCCCTCCCCCCGGGATGGCGTGTCCCAGGGGTGGCAGCAGGGTCCTCATCGTCCGTCCCCCTGCAGCACCTAACTCTGGTGACCTCAGGATCTGACAAGGCCTTTCCCACACTCATCACCCCATGGGCACTGCTCCTGAGCAGGGTCCCAGACCAGACCACGATCCCACCTGGAAGTGTAGTGTGGGAGACGCTGAGGGCCCCAGTGGGGACTCGACTTTGCTTCCTGGAGGAAAAAACATGTGTTATCATCTAAATGTACACACACTCCTTGACCTGGCAGTTCCGCTCCCCGGAATGTCCCCAAGGCACGTGTGCCCGGTGATGGCTGCAGCAGCACTGCTCATGAGAGTGGGAAATTGGCAACAGTTTAACTGTCCATCAGTGGGGGGCTAGTTTAAGTTTAACAGGTCCAAACTGTGGAGCCATTAAAACATGAGGGTGGAGACCATTCTGTTTTTTTCCAATCCCCATCTGAGGATATTTTTTCCACTGATTTTTGGAGAAAGTAGAGGGGAGGGAGGGAGAGGGAGAGAGAGAGAGAAACATCGATGTGAGAGAGATTGATTGGTTGCCTCCCGCACACTCTCTGAACCTGGGACCCAAGTGCATGCCCTTGACAGGAATTGAACCTGTGACCCTTTAGTGAGCAGGCCGATGCTCTAACCACTGAGACACACGGGCCAGGGCAAGACCATTACTTATTAACACAGAATAGTTGCTATGATATATAGTTAACTGGGGGCAAAAACAAACTACATGATGATGTTCTTTTAAAACAAAACAAAAAATGTGTATATGCCCAGAAAAGGGTTTAAGGAATTCAGAGCACAGTGTTAAACAGGGCTCCCTCCGTGTGGCAATGTTATGAGTGACCTGAAGTTTATTCAGTTTACTCTTTTGTTATTGTCCTAATTTTGTAATCTGTGTATGTATTTCTCTTCCCAAGGGCGGGGAGACAAAGTTTCCATGGCAGGGATGGGGAGGCAGTGTGGTGTGGGTCGTAAGCCAACCAGTACCCACAGGTCACACATGGCTCTCAAGGCTGCTTTTAATTGGTACCCCAGGAGGCCCAGCTCATGTTGCAGGGCAGGAGGCTGGCAAAGCCAGCGCTGATGGATGGGCAGGCCTTGGCTTAGCAGAGGGAGGCCGAGTGAGTCACTCACCAGCAGCTCCTCGGGGACAGGGTGGCCTTGGCAGCTGCTACTTATGTTAGCTTTCTCTCCCTGTGTGGTACTTCCCTCCCCCCCAGGCGTCCAGTCTGCAGGACACTCAGCCACAACTCAGTGAGCATCTGCTTTGTGTCTGTAAACCTTTGGGATGAGACTCTATGGCCTCCAGTGTGGTGTAGAGGCCACTAGAGTGGTAGGTTGGCCTTGGGCAAGTTGCTTAACTTATCAGAACCTCAGTTTTTCCATCTGGAAGGTGGGGATAGCCATAGAGCTTCCTCAAAGGCTTATCACCAGATGCCTCTGGGAATGGGGAGGAGATTTTTTAATGGTGCACCCTGTGAATTTTAGATCGTGTGCATGTGTTACCAACTCAAATACATAGTTATGTGTTGTATGAGGGCTGCGAGAGGAACAGAAAGGGTGTTCCGAAAGGGGCTCCCTGAAACATTCATCCCACCAGGCAGGTTCTGTTACCCAAGAGCCCCACAAAAGCAGGCCTTTCTGCAGAGGGTAGCAGCGAAGGCAGGATAAGTGATTCATGCCAGGGGCAAGGTTTCAACTCTGGTCCTGTGCCCAGTACTCTGGAACATAAAGAGGTGTCTGCTGGCCACTTGGAGAAATAGATGCCATCACTCAACAAGTGAACAGTCAGTGCTGTACAGCTAAATGCTGAGTTTACGCAGACCCGTGACTAGGGTTGAGTTTCTCTAGGAAAATTGCTGGGTCGGTTCCAAGTGGGAAGCGCTGTGTGTTTTCTCCCTGTTGGAGAACCCTGTGCACACGGGCATATTAAAGGCTCTGAGGATTCCTGCAGTAGCAGACCTTGGTTTAATGTAGTGCTTCCCTGTGTACATCATCAGGAACCCCTTTATTTCTTTTTTGTTTTATTTTTGAGTAACCCCTGTTAATAGCCCACAGAATTAATGTGGTGCAGAGGAAGTTTGGGGAGGCTCTGGCCTTCTGACTTTAAATTCTCTCTTTTGGTTAGGGGACTTGGTCCACTGGTTGTAAAGATACCCACGTTTGTCAGATGATAGGAGGAGGGGGACAGTGACAGTCATGAGCATCCCATCTGTCGAGTGCCTGCTCTGTGCCCGGCACTGGGCCGTGGGCCTACATTCATTTGCGAGACTGATCCTCATGGCCACCCTGTGAGATGGGCACTGTTCCAACATCTGCCTCCAGGTGATGGAACTGAGGGTCAGGATGTGTCCAAATCTCACAGCTGCTTAGGGACAGATCCAGGATTCAAACTGCCAAGGCTTCCTCTTGCTTGAAAAGGTCACAGCGTTCCTTCACACACTCTCACTCCTACTGAAAAAACACCCACACAAGTGTATTTCCTTCATCAGAAAAGAGATTAGGCCCTGGTTGGTGTGGCTCAGTTGGTTGGGTGTCGTCCCATGCCCTGAAGTGTCGCCGGTTTGAATCCCAGTCAGGGCACATGCCCACGTGGGCTCAAGCCCTGGTCAGGGCGAATGCAGGAGGCAGCTGATCGACGTTTCTCTCTCACATCAATATTTCTCTGTCTCTCTCCTTCTCCCTTCCTCTCTCTCTAAATCAATAAAAACATTTTTAAGAAAAGAAATTAGGAAGCACTGGGTGTTGTTTGAAGTAGGCATTGAGTTCAGGGGCCTATCTCAGTTGCGGCTCTGAATTCTACTCTGTGGCTCTCTCGGAGATTCGGGCCCTCTCTCTGCCTGCCATGGATTGTCTCATCCCGAATCGCTCTCCACACAGCTCTCCGGACATTACCATCCATGGCCCAGCCCGCCTCTTCCTTCAGCCTCCAGAGTCCCCAGGGGAAGGGTCAGGCAGGAGAAGTGCAGGGGGCATCTACTGAGCACTTTCCAGCTTTGCACCAGGAGCGGGGGTTGGCTCGTGTGAGAGCCTGGTACAGGGGGGCTACTCTGCATCCTGTGCTCTAAGCAGGCGTCTCCTCTCCCTCAGGTCTGGAAGAGGTCTGGGGCCTGGTTCTACAAAGGGCTCCCCAAATACATCCTGCCCCTGAAGACCCCCGGCCGTGCTGATGACCCCCACTTGCGACCTTTGCCTGTGGAGCCCGCTGAGCAAGAGCCCCGAAGCACTGAGACCAGTCGAGTCTACACATGGGCTCGTGGGAGAGGTAAGTCCCCTTTGCCCCCTGTCCTGGGATAGCAACAGATGTGTGGGCCACCGGCCAGCCAGTGCCACGGCACCAGGCCAATGCCCGCCACACTTCATGCAGCTCACAGTGGTGTTTAATCCCTCTCTGTGCCCTCGACTCCCTGCCTGCACCCACATGGGTGGCTGGACCCTCGGTACAGTGATTGCTTGCGGCCTGAGGGGGCCATTTCACAAACAAGCGCTAATTTAGGGGTGGGGATGCCAAGAAGAACACTGTGGGTCTTTGCAGAAATGTAATGTCAGTTGAGGTTTTCTTTCCAAGGCAGGCCTGTACCATCTCTTCTCAGCTCTTGTGTTGTGTCTCAACAAGAAGGGGCTCTTGGCTTCTCTGGTCCTAATGGGGAAAGTGACCTCATGCCCAGGGCCCCTTGGTATTTGCAGTGGCCTCACTGATGTGGGTGCCTTCTAGGTGGCCACCATCAGAGGCTGGTAATTAGAACAGTACCTGGCATGGCAGATGTCTACACAGCTTGCAAGATGCTTTAATGTCATGATTTTATCTTCAAAGTTCCTGGTCTTGCAACAGGCTCCGAAAGTGGACAGGGCAGTAGCCCCATTTTAGAGATGAGTAGCCTGAGGCCCAGAGGAAAGGAAGGACTTAATGATGATGTGTGGCAGAGCTGGGACCCAAAGGCAGGGTGCTGCCCTGTAGGGTCTGGCTCCTTCTGCCCCAAAGTGCCTGAGTTTCAGCCCAAGACTCAGGCACTGAGGGTCCTAAATGAGATAAGGCTAGAGAGATGAGGGGCTCATCTGATGCCCAGGGTTTACTTGGGTTTCTAGACCCAATAAAATAGACACACAGCTGCTTCTGAGGGGCCCTCGAGCATCTGTCTTCGGGTTATGACCTGGCAGCTATCTTTATACCATTTGGGGTTTTTTTTCTTGTTACAAAAGTACGATGTGTTTATTATAAAATTGTAAAGGTTATCAAAAGATATAATCTAGCAGGTAAAAATTTCCCATAGGTCGCCCCTTCCAAACAGAACCGGCAATTAAGAGCTTGGCATCTGTTCACTAGACGTCTTTTCCTCACCATCACTTGCTCTCTGCAGCAGGCCTTCCTTACACATTCTGCTGGACTCTGTTTCACTTCTCATTCCCATGAGGTCACTGTCCCTGCCATCACTGCCACAGACAAGCCCCTCGCAGGGGCCCCTTGCAGGTGGAGATGGCAGGTGGAGTGAGGGGAGCCAGCCCCTACTGGGACTGGCCTGAGGGGGGCGCTGTAGCTGTCCAGCCTTGAAGGGAGCCTGGGGGAATTTGTTGGAGAAATAGCTCCCTCTTCCCTTCTCTTCCATTCTCCACCTCAGAACTGGGGCTTTCTCCAGCTCCAGCCCTGTCAGGGTGTCAGTGTCTCTCAGGCTGAGGGTAGAGACGCAGCCGTGGAAACAGGGCTGATGGACACCATCAGGTTTAGAATGTTGCTTCCAGTGGGTTGAGGGGAGGCCCTGAGGCCCCCATCCAGAGAGGCCCTCACTGCCGTGTGTGCTCCAGCATCAGCGTGGTACACACACACACTCACACACACTCACACACACACTCACACTCCTCAGCCACACAGACGCAGATGGCCTTTTAATTACGTGGGTGAGGAAGCCAGCGACCCATATACTCAGAGTGAGGCCAGGCCATGTGGACGCCCCTCTGTGAACTTGGTCTCCCTCTGCAGGCCAGGCTGGAAGCACCCCCCC